TTCTGGGAGTGGTCCAATTAAATCCATGCCCAGCACCTCCCAAGGTTCTTTTACCTGCAGGTCACAGAACTTATCAAGTGAAAATTTAAAGCTAACATGCAGCAGACAAGCTTATTAACTTGAAAATTAAATGTAAATAGCTTTAAGATGTACCTTGATGGGATGTAATGTTGGTGCCACGGTCTTGATTGGGTCATTCATCTGGCAGCGATGACAACATCTGACCTGAAAGGCGTATTCCAAACAATATGTCTAGGAAACCCTAAAGCAGTTGATGTAAATTGATAATAAAAAAAAGACATAAACTAATGTTGAAATTAAGTGTGCAAGTAAACACATTCAATTATATAGCCTACAGATGTTTTAGAAAAAATTATGACGACCTGATTTAGCTTCTTCACTCAAATAAGGCCATTACCCATTCAGCGATGTCCTGGTTCAATGTTGGCCAGTAATAGCCAGCAACAACCCTGTTTCGGGTACCTCTGACACCATTGTGGTTCCCGGTACCAGGGTTATTGTGGCACTCCATCAAAACAGACTTCTTCTCCTCCTCTGACATGACTACCAGGCGCATGCTCTGCATACTGGGGCCAGTGTAGAAGAGTCTGTTGTCTGGGACAAGATAAAAATGAAAAAAAAAAAAAAAAAAAAGATGAGAGTTGCTGACTAAAGTAAATTGAAATGTCTGACAGATATTAAAGTTTGAGATCCGCACCAATATGGTACATTTACCTCCAATTGCAATTATCTTTAAAAAATATATATATATAGGCTATATATATATTTATATATATATATATATATATGATATTGTATTTACGATTTTTTTTAATCTAAAATAAGACCACACACCAAGATGTAGACCTATATATAGTTTCGATATTACAGACGATGCTACACTGTACACTGATATTACTCGTTACACCATCCTGAATCAACGCAGGCGTCATGCAACTTTAGAACAATAACGGAGTCTCTACCCTCAAGCAGCAAGGGCAGCTGTAGACCAGAGGCGGAGCTGGCCTAAATGGCGCCCTGTGCGAGATCCCCCTGTGACGCCCCCCCCCCCACACACACACACACGCACAAGAACAAACATTACACCTACACACAAGGGCGTCAGTTTGTTTTCAGAATTGCTGGGGACAATAACCATACACTTGAGTGGGGTTTAAAAATTGCTGGGGACAATATAGGCTAGCACAGGGGTCGGCGGCTCTGGAGCCGCATGCGGCTCTTCCATCCATCTGATGCGTTTCTCTGTGCTCTTAAAATAATGAATTGATATTTAAATAAAAAGCTTTATATTTTACTGCATTAATTTTACATCTGTATGCTAATTCTAAATGTAAAGATTGTCTGCGTAAACCTAAACAGTTCCGACCCGGTCTTACTGTGAGACCGGGTTGACGCGTCACGCTTGTGCGTAATCAAATGCGCTTCCTGAGCTGGAGGATGTCAGATTCTGGGATTCTCCTCAGACGGCTCCTGGATGCGTCGCCACATTGGAGACAGGAACAAGCACTATTCAGCCAAAGTTTCATAATCAGGGAACATTTTCTAAGTGACAAGTCTCTGAGAGACTGGGTTTGGAAAACTCTCGCTTCAGTGGGAGGAACCTTCTCACATGCGCTCTGGTTCTGAGAGCCTGGATTTGTATTCTGAACAGTCTAAACATGTTTTTAAAAGAAACGTATGACAAAAGTGGTACCTGCTCAGTAAAACCACCAACAGGGTGAAAAATATCAAAATATTCTCGGCAGAGACGGGCTACAACTTCTGGATCCATGTTATATAAATCGTTTTATTGATTATCGTCTTATGAAAGATAACTTTGACGTACACGAGCGACCAGGCACGTTGCAAGCTTTTCAAAAGTGTGGGAGATGTTGTCTGTGCCTAAAATAATTTGATGTTATTCATCTTGTTAGTTTAATTTCCATAATAGCGGAGCAGGTGTGAATTTTAGACGTGTCACGCACGTCTCCGTTTTAAACATGTTTAAACTGTTCAGAATACAAATCCAGGCTCTGTCTCGTTAGATCGGTGTAACTAAAGTTTGTACTGAATGAAACTACATTAAACCATGTTGAAAAGAAAAGGATCCGATTAAATCATTTCCCCTCATTTACAGTCACGACGTACAGTGCAGTGCGCGTGGCTCTGGGGTTAATCAGGTTTAATTGTTTCTCTTTGCAACAATCTTCACAAGAAGGCAAAACAGTTAAATGGCAGGTTACAGATATTTCCATTTGACTGTATTTTGATGGATAAACTCAAGGATGCTGGCTGTTTTGAAAGAATTACCCCGACGCACACTGATGCGCATGGATGAGCTAGGAAAAATGTTCTTTTTATGAAATTATGAAACTTTGGCTGAACAGCGCTTTTTCCCGTCTCTAATATGGACACGCATGACGCATCCAGTCTGAGGCAGAATAGCAGCTCAGAAAGCACCTGTAGAGACATTTGATCACGCACAAAGTTTATGTGGAGCAGAAGTGGTCGGACCACGGCAGGTGAAACGTTCCTAGCCTACATGAAGTGGAACTGTTTAATTGTAACATTAATACGTTACTGGACACGCTGGTCTGGTTGGTTACACCAGTGTTGGAAGTGGAAAACACACACACACACACACACACACACACACACCAATTAAAATAATGCTGATAGCGTGGACTAGAAGACAGGTGATGGTTTACGTATTTAAATGATGATCAGGCTGCTGTAAAATGTAATCTCCATCCACATCCAGACAGAATGATCCTCTATTCTATTTGCTCTGCTCTTGTCTGGGCTGACGTAGCTGATGGTGCGCGCGGCGCGCCTAACGGCTGTGATGCACATTTTACGCATTTGGAGAGGTGGGCCGGATGCTTTGCTTTTACTGGAAGATGGTCCACTTAACGCACGGGTGTAGACTACATATTAATGACAAATGAATGAAAATTAAATTGTGAGTTTTTACTTCATATTTTAGAAATAAAAATGATGGGGGAAAACATTTATGACATATTTTTAAACTAAATTTTCTAGCGCGTCCTGCCTGCTTCACTTAAGTCACTGCTTATTAAGGTCCGTCCAAAATTACCGTGGCCCACCCAAAAATGAAAACCTGGCGCCGCTCCAGTTATAAACCTCTGCAAATTGTTGTTCTTCACATTATCAAACTCAGACTTTGTACAGCTAATGTCAAGATGTAAAATGATGAATTCAGTCGAGCTCTTCCGTCCCTCCCTCTCCTGCTCTCCTGGAAACCCGACACTGGCTGTCAGAAGCGGGAGGTGAAGAAGGAGATGAGGCAAACAGAGTGAGTGCGATGTAAAGAAACCAGACTGGTGTGGAGGTGAGCAAACAGCTGGAAAAGTGTGGGTGTTGAATCCCCCACGGGTGCGATGTCCATGCGAGCGACCGGTACCTGCTGCTGTCACCTGGTTGTGAGCAGCTCTCTGCTGTCTGAGGGTAGGCCCCGCCCACAACGCCGCGGCTGCTGCGGTGTTTTCTTTACTGTGGGAAACGGGTAATAATGGCTCTTTGATGGGAACAGGTTGCCGACCCCTGTATAAGATCTGAGCTGGTAAAACAAAAATCCTCATCAGCAGGCTTTTTTGAAAGTGGGGGGGACACAGCTGCCAATCACAAATTTTGCCGGGGACATGTCCCCGGCGTCCCCGGTTAAAATGACGCCTATGCCTACAACTTTGTTTCAAATTGCGTGGAGTGTATATATAACAACGTTTGCTAACTGAATACAACATCCAGCTCCTGGCCACCTTCTCACCACTTGTCAAAGTTCTACTGAAATAGACACACTTAACGCAACATGATGGCATCATCGACTTGTACAGTACAGATGTGCTGAAAGGCGAGAGTCTCAACTTTCAGCTAAAAAAAGACCGCTCTAGCTATTATAGTTTTTATTTTATGGCAGTTTACAGTTTAAACGGGATCATACTAGCAGGGCACCTCCAGCGGCCCGCTGCCGCTCCGTTTTTCATGGGGTAAATAATAGCTAATTTCCCGATTCCAAAAAGAAAGAATGGTCCTACCAGCTCGCCACTTCAATATGAAGAAGATCAGTTCAACATGGGGAAAAAAAAACCTGACCTGTAGGCCAGAGAAATGTTCATTAGCACATCAAGTTCTATTCAGTTTACCGGTAAACATATCACGAATGTACAACAGGTCAATTATTAATCATCTTGGCTACGTAGCTCAATCTATGCATTCCAGTAGCGTTTGCTACAAACAAATACAAAAACAACAATAAAGGAAAACAACTGTCTGACAAACAGCATAGCCGAATTCAAGGCAACACATAACAATAATCATTCGATTGCTCTTGGTTTCAAGTTAAGCCCATTAAAGTGCTTAAGTAAATAAAAGTGTTTATAAACAGCGTTTTTGAACCGGAGTTCTGCTCGCGGTGGGAACTCTGCCGAACAAGGTCATTTTTTATAGCGAAAACGATCGACTGGTCACTGACAAGTAAAAGGGTGTTATTGGTAGATGTTAAGAACACTTACCGCTGAGGTAAAATGAGAGTATAAATAAACTGAGGGGAGAAAAACGCTTTGTTTTCCAACGCCGTTCTACAAGCAACAAGCTTACAGCCACGGCAGGAGCAGCTTTCATGGTTGCCGCGACGTGGAAGGAGCCAATCAGGAGAGGGACCTCACATCAGCTGACGTGGGTCATGTGACCGGGAGTAGTTGATATGGGTTACACTTTGTTGTGCTTTTATTACAGAAATATTATTATTATCATCACTATTATTATTAAGAACATGCGATTTCTATGTTTTGTTTATGTATTGGTTGATGCTAAAAAAAAAAATATTTTTTAGAAAAAAAAAAAAAAAAAAAAAAAAGGAAAGGAAATTAAATGCCGCCCCCTGCAGACTGCCGCCCTGTTCGGCCGCACATGTTGCACATATCAAGCTCCGCCACTGCTGTAGACCACGATAAAAGATCATCTTTAATTTTCGTACTTACCTTTAAGTCTGTAATTAGGCGCCATTCTTCTTATTTTACGGCGCTTTTGTTCAATCGCCGGAAGCTCTCCGTTGAGGAGAAAATCATGAATTTCGTTGTAAATGGAGGTATCCATTGTTTAAACGTCCCGCAGTCGGTAACTGTCGCAAAGTTGGCAAAGAGAGGAAGTGACGTAAAATTCGCGCATTCGTGGTACCGATCGGGTTTCCGGTACGGATCGGGTAGCGACAAGGCCCAAACAGACCTCAGGGTGACAAATGCCATCCCCAGTGGATGATCTGGTACTTCTTCTGTCTGCCGCCTCATTTCCTCCAGCAGCTGCTTTTCTTTACTACGGTAATATTCTATGGCATCAACCTGAGAGAACAACGGCATGATTAATGAGAAAAACCTGCTGAATAAACGTTAAAAACTGTCGCGTTAATGCTCACTTTCTCACAGCTGGAGCAGCAACAGATGTTGCTACACAGTCGCGGGTTGATCAGCCCACGCAGCCCTGTCTTCTCAAGAACCCGCTCATAGTACCGCAGGTTTTTCCCAGCTCGCACCCTATAGGTTTAAAAACAATGATACGGAACCACGTTTCAGGATTTGTTATGTAAAAGATGTGAGAGGTAAGCTCTTTTATGCATTCAGCAACACAAATTAACCCCTACTTCACATTGGAGGCATCAGTGGCGTGGAACGGCAGCAGAACGCCGCTGCTTCAAATAGAATCCATTCTAGCCTACGGGGGTGATTCGGACCAGCCGCGGCACAGAAGCAGCACGCTGTGCCGCTAAGGTCAGGGTTGGCGCTACGTGCTCTGCCCCTTTTCGGCCACAAGATGGCCTCAGTGGCTTCGTAACTTACGAAATAATTTTCCAATAGTTGGCACCCGTTCAGTCCACACTCAGCTGCAGTTTTTACCCTACAGTTATTGTCAATAACACGAGGAAAACATCTTTTTTATGGGAAATTATTAAACAATCTTAGGGAGCAGGCTGTGATAGCAAACTCAAAGTGCAATATTGAAAGTGCAAAACGTTAAAAAATCTATAATCTTTTACTTAAGTCTCTTTACAGTTTTTCTGAATGAACTTTGACTCCTGCACACATCATAGACGCAGAAGAGTAGACACCGCACCAACCGCTACTGCCTATGTTTGGCCGCATTTGCGGGTTCTACATTTTATAAACTCTATGGTTAACAGAATGTTTTAGCTAGGCCAGGGGTCGGCAACCTGTTCCCATCCAAGAGCCATTATTACCCGTTTCCCACAGTAAAGAAAACACTGGGAGCCACAGCAGCCGCGGCGTTGTGGGCGGGGCCTACCCTCAGACATCAGAGAGCTGCTTTAACCAATCACAACAGGTGACAGCAGCCGGTACCGGTCGCTCGTGTACGTCAAAGCTATCTTTCATAAGACGATAATCAATAAAACGATTTATATAAAGTGGATCCAGAAGTTGTAGCCCGTCTCTGCCGACAATATTTAGATATTTTCACCCTGTTGGTGGTTTTACTGAGCAGGTGCCACTTTTGTCATACGTTTCTTTTTAAAACATGTTTAGACTGTTCAGAATACAAATCCAGGCTCGGTCACGTTTGATTGTTGTAATTAAACTTTGTAGGTGGGGAAGGTCAGAAAAGGATCCGATCAATTTGTTTTTCCCTCATTTACAGCGACGGAGACAACCGCGCAGTGCGCCTGGATCTGGTGGTAATCAAGTTTAATTTTATCTATTTTCACAAGAAAACAGAACAGTTAAAAGCGGGGCTTGTGTTGACCGGATAGTTCCCGTATTTGACCGTTTATTTTGACGGAGAAAGAATAGAAAGAATTACCCCGACGCATGCAGACGAACTGACACTATTCGTTTCACACATCGCAGATGTAGTTAAATCACTCAAGAAAAGATTCCCATCTGAACATCTGAGCTGGACACTGCTCAGCGAAGCTCACTGTCAGTGCGTACATAAGGTGCACAGCAAGCTGAAGATGTGGAGAGGGGCTTGGAGCGCGTCGCAGAACCAGAGCGCATGCAGGAAGATTCCTCCGACTGAAGCGAGAGTTTTCCAAACCCGGTCTCTCAGAGAGACTTGGTCACTTAGAAAATGTTCCCTGATTATGAAACTTTGGCTGAATAGTGCTTGTTCCTGTCTCCAATGTGGCATCTGAGGAGAATCCCAGAATCTCACATCGTCTTCAGCTCAGACAGCGCCTATGATTACGCACAAGCGTGACGCGTCAACCCGGTCTCACAGTAAGACCGGGCTGGACCTGTTCAGGTTTACGCAGACAATCTTTACATTTAGAATTGACATACAGATATAAAATTAATGCAGTAAAATATAAAGCATTTTATTTAAATATCCAGTCATTATTTTACAAGCAAAGAGAGCCGCATCAGATGGATGGAAGCTAGGCTAGGCTAGGCTTTAGCTCCGGAAAAGCTCCGTGGAGATCTGAAGCTAGAACGGCTAAAGTACTCGTTCAAAAACCCGTTTACGCACGCCAGGACGAACGTATTCAATTGTACGTTCATCAGGCGAAATACGAACGAGTTCACAAACAATCGTTCAATGCACGAGTTCAGGCACAACACTGATGGTATGTCCCTGCTAACACACACACACACACACACACAAACACACACCATCACCCACTAAAACTTTCTCTCTCGTTCATACATACAACATGTTTCCCATGATTCAGAAAATGTCTTCACTGATGTCTCACCTTTCCTTATCCAGGTGCATCAGTTTGGCCACATCATAGGCCAGAGTAACAGAACACACCCGCCACTGAGGATACGCCTCCCTAAGGACAAACAACCAGGTGGATCACAGCTGGTGATGGTTAAGCAAACAGGGGCATCAAAACAAAAATTGTATGATAAAAACAAAATATGTGATACACATTAATACTATCATTTACGGTAACTGTGTCACCTGAAATGGTCCTTTACATCCTCCGCTGTTGCCATTTTAGGGACTGAACAAATAAACAAGGTGTTTCTGGCCTGCAGACGGAAAAATGTTCCAAACTAGACATTTAAAAACTTCTCATCCACCAAGATCCGGTCTTTCGGTCAGAGAGACTCGCCTTGTCCCTGCGCAGGTCTTTCATCTTGGATGTGTGCAGCCTCAGAGACACCATGGTCAGGGCCAGGTAGATCACAGCGAACACAGTGTGCAGCCATAACAGGTCGTTCCTGGACAGGAACATTTCCTTATAAACTAAATGCTTTTGTTCTAAGAGAGAATTAAGCTTTACATCACGGATTACGGTAGTTACTCAGTGCTCAGATTCCCAATTGTTGTCCGTCCAAAACTCACAGGGTCATTTCCTGCAAGAACAGGAACTAAATTAAGTTTTTTTTTCCTCTAAGATGTTCAAGTTGTTCATAAAAGAACTCTGATCTCTGTTTGTGGACGAGAGAGAAGTGTGACAGAAACCCACTCAGCAGTTTCCCAGTCAGATTCACCGGCAGGATGACTCCGAGGGAAAGGACAGTGATGACCACCAAGAGGATGATCAGATGACGCTGGAAGGACAGGTAGTGTAACGCATCAACGCCACATTTCTGTTTGATCTTCTCTTCGCTGCAACACAAACATATACCATCAGATTTCGGATTCTAGGAGTGACAAAACATATTTACAATAAAATAAACCCTCACTCCATTCTGACGCTGTAGGACAGCCACGAGAAGTACCCCTGAACAAACAGAGAAACACGATGAGGAGAAACAAAAGCTTCTGATGATGAAGGTGAGGTTTTCCGCACGTACCGATTCGTGCTCGGCGTCATCCACGTTGGACGCTGTGGATGGCATACGACCGTAGCGGCGGTGCGTTGACTCGTTGAACCTGATTCAAAGATTCGATCAAACAAAAGCTAAAATCACTAAATTATTATATTCTATTTGGTGTGTTTACAAAACTCCCGTGACTTCATTTGTAGGGTAAAGCAGGTAAAATCTCTTAAACTGACCCATCACTGTCTGCAACCAGAGCTAATCGACCGTAGTCCCAGAACTTCTTTCTGATAATCGAGAAAATGATCAGCAACACCTGCGAGACTCAAGAAGAGAGGCGGTTTAGTGCAGGTATGACATGATTCTGTACAATGAATAAATAAAGCCTCAACTTAGGGCTGGGCGATATATCGAAAATGTATCATCATCGAAATTTCTGTTTCTAATCAATATCGTTTTCCCATGTCAGTAAATTCAATAATTAAAAAAGAAAAGATGTGTGTAGGTTGGCTACGTTCATGTCACTTTACGAAGCTGTACCACCTCGAGTCACACGACCACGTGACTCGACGTAATACATGTGACAGCCCTCTAAGGCCCTGTCCACACGTAGCCGGGGATCTGCCAAAACGTAGATATTTTTCTACGTTTTGGCCTGTCATCCACACGAAAACTGAGTTTTTTTCACACGAAAACGGATCTTTTTAAAAACTCCGGCCAAAGTGAAGATCTGCGTTTTCTCCGTTTTGGGTGTCTGCGTGTGGACGGACAAAACCGGAGTTTTAAGGTCCGCAACGTCACTTTCCGCGACAAAAAAATGCTGACATCACGTGTGCAACCTGTGTTTACACTAGCCGACATCATGGATGCCCTCAGAGCTGCGCTTGCTTTATCAATTGTCCAAGTGCTCTTTGCTTGTTTGCTTTTGCAAGCGGAATTACTGCTCCTTGCGGAAGACCACAGACGAAGGACGAGGTTAAGAACGGAGGAAGTACTGCCGCCTACAGGTCTGGCATGTCCTTAACAACGTATTTATCCGGGTACGTGTGGATAGTTTTTTTTTTAAAACGAGGTGGTGTGGATGCAAGTTTTTGGAGGGGCGGATATTCGTTTTTTAAAGAAAACCCGGCTACGTGTGGACTAGGCCTAATATTGGCCTGTATTCAATCACCGGCCGGGTCTCCTACATTAGCCGGTGTAATAAAGGCCCGTTCCTAATCTCAGCAGACATCAACATTACCGGTATGTTCACGGGAAAGGGGGATGGGTATGGCGCGGCATGGGGGCCAAAATTAAGACTACTGCCCAGCAGCAGGAGGCTATATAAATTCTGAAGCTAACTACCGATCTGATTAATGATAAGCTGGCGCCGGTAACGGAGAGGCTGGCGCTGCTTACTGAGAAATAGCACCTTTACCGGTGTTACTACTAGATACGCTAGGGACTAGCAGCCCTCGGCTGGTCATTGACTGGTTCAAGCACTCCCTCTGCTGTCTATTAGCATTGATAGGCTAGCGTTAGCCTGGACGGGCTGGTGTTAGCATTGGAGAGGCTAGCCATTAGCGTGCCTAGGCTGGCCACTAGCTGACTAGCGACTCTCCGAGACATGCTAATGGCTAGCCTCTCCGATCTCTACGATGTTAACCAACCTGAAAAGGAATAGTTCAGACTCATAAAAGGCTTTTGGTTTGTAGTGTAATATGAGATTTGCCACACGAGATAGTTTGTTATGTTGATCGCTTCAGCGTTGGGTAAACCCTCCAGCGAAATAATGGTGTTTGTTGTAAATGTTCTATATGCATACGTACGTACAATGTCAACTGTACATCTTCAATAAACGAAACTGGTGTTTCATAGATTCAAACAGACACAAAATCTTGTTTTTATTCATTCTACTAGTAGTTTATTTTGCTCAAATTGAAACTGAGGTCTGTCTCTAATTCTGGCCTCCTTCCAATAAAGGCCTGAACCAGGATGCGCTGGAGTAAATAAAGGCCTGGGCCTGTATTAGAGGATTTACGGTAGTTATCCATTTATCATTATCGAGGTGAACTCCCCAAAATACCGTGATATTAATTTGGGGCCGTATCGCCCAGCCCTAATGTAACTAGTTTCAAAAGATTTAAAGCAACTTGGTTAAAAATTACAGAAAATATTGATTAAGAAAACATCTTTCAGGGTTTCTAATTTAGTCACAAGATTTTAAATCTCTAACTTGATCCTAGTGATGTTAAAGAAAAGAAAATATTTTATGTCGTCACTTTTAACATAAAAACAAAACAAAACCTGGAATGAGAAGGTGAAGTTGACAGATAGAAACATACAATGAAAACACAGAAGTTCAGCAGCAGGACGACTGGAATTCCTCCGAACTCGAGTCCGGAGAGGACCGTGCTCTGGTTGGAGCTGAAGCAGCTGATGGACGTGTTGCTGGTTGGGTCCACCAGGGAGATCCAGGGGAAAGACATCCCAGGAGTTGGAACACAAGTCTGCAGAGAACCACAGAAATAAAAGTTACCATTATGATTATTAATGTTATAATTACAATTTTAATGTGTTATTTAGTTTTGTTTGGGTGCAAATATACCAGACAATTAAAGTGGTCGACCATAAGGCTTTCTCTCCGAGTTTTGTGATAGATCTCACGCAACTTTTGTAATAAACTAAAAATAAATCCCGGCTTCAACTAGAGAATGCTGCTGTTGTGTCCTTGGGCAAGACACTTAAGGTTGGTTTATGCTTGACGCGTCCGCGAGGTCCGCACGGCTCTGCGCGGAAAAGTTGCGTCATTTTGCATCATTTTAACAACCACGCCCCTCCACCGCGTCTCCGCACGGCCCAAGATTTCCGCAACGCGCACCTCGGAAAATTTCTAACCACGCAGACGGACGGAAGCGGAAAAACATGGCGGACCGGCAAGAATTAGTTAGGCAGAGGTTCGTAAATACAGACATTTGTATGATTCAGCTCTCAGAGATCACCGTGATCAACATGTTAATAATTCTTGGAGAGAAATAGCTCGCACTGTCGGAAAAGACGAGAACGCTGTTAAAAATGCTGGAATGCCATGTTGTAAACAGTAATTTCTACTTCTACTATGGTGTAGTGTTGGATGCATGCCGTAGAGCTCCATGCTGCCCCCTACAGTTTGGGAGAATATTGGCTCACCGCAGAGACGAGCCGCACAAACCATAAACGCTGCGAGTTGTGAAGCGCGTTCCATCCGCGAGCCGCATCACCGCGCGGAAAGTGAATGCGTCAAGCATAAACCAAGCTTATACTCGCCGTGCCTGCTGGTGGTGGTCGGAGGGACCGGTGGCGTCAGTGCTCGGCAGAACTCGCCTCTGTCAGTGTGCCCCAGGGCAGCTGTGGCTACATTGTAGCTCATCATCACCAGCATGTGAATGTGTGTGTGTGAATGATTGATAGAGTTGTAAAGAGCCTTGGGGGGTTGTAGAACCCTAAGAAGGCTCTACACAAATACAGGCCATTTACCACAGAGGGTAAAACTGAAACCCTTTTTCATCTTTAAACAAAGTCAGCTGATATTTTGTAAAACAAATATTTCTGAACTATAATAACTTGCCTAAATGAATTATACAAAATGTTTTTCTAAATTAGGTGTTAGCTCTAAATGAGACCAAACATAAAAAAAAATCTATATGATAATCATCAAGTTAGTTAGTAGAAATGATGGTTTAAAACAAAATCTGAGTGATTTTGTGTAAAACCTATAGATAATTGACCACTACAAAAACATCAAACTTTAAAGGGACTTTACGGACTTTTGAATTTTTATGCTCGTGATCGCCCCCTCAGGCCAAAAGCGTAACAGCAGCTTCAATAGCAGGCTCGTGCACGAGGTGCGCATGCTGTACGTGCACACTCCTTAACGAAAATAACAGCTGAGACAGTCCCGTGTGTGTGTGTGTGTGGTGTGTGTGTGTGTGTGTGTGTGTGTGTGTGTGTGTGTGTGTGTGTGTGTGTGTGTGTGGTCCGGAGGACAGAGGACAGGAGAACACGCAGCTAATTAATTAAATAATTTGGTTCTGTACCTTTCTCTTCAGCACAGCCGACAAAGGTTTATGATGGGTCAGTCCTCCTGCATGCTCAGATCATTCCCTTCCCTTGCTTGAAAAATTGTTCCAAAATGAAAGTTGAACCCACATCTTTTTTATCTGTGAGTTCAATGCCGTTCGGCGAGTCTCAAATAAAAATTTGGGCATCTTACTGTAAAAAATATACCATTAATGTAAAAAAGAAACTCTAAATAATTTATGTTCACACCCAGAATCAAACCCAGGTCTTCTGCATGAGAGTCAGACATCTTACTAGGTGAGCTAAAGCACCAGTGACGTCCTTTATATCTGTAACATTTATATCCTTGATGACAGCTGAAACAACGTCAAACCAAAGAACGGTTCGGAGTGAAAATGGCTATTTTGTTGCTAATTTGCAGGAAATATCTAGAAGAAAGTTCTACAGAAAGTAGCTAAGGGTCCTCAGAAATGTAGCTAGCTTTGTCACTAGGCGTTAGGAACAGCGACAAAGTGGCACTGCCTCTCTCTCTGCTGCTAAAGCTACGGATAGCAAATGCTACGGGCGATGCCTGAGCGTGAACGCGCATGAAGCAGCCTGCTCGACCCGAGCATCTCTCTTTTTCTGTGATTTTACAGAAAAACAGGCAATCACAGTAAAAATGCCAGGGCTCATTCTACAGGACCAGGGCATTGCAGGAGAATGTATGAAGAAGACATTTATTATTTCTATTCATGCTTTGGCTGTCACACTTCCATAATGTCCCTCTAAATGCACTCTTGAGAAACGCTTCAGCTGAAGAAAAAAAAACAAACAACACACACACCTTCACCACTTCATTCCTGTAGCGGTCCAGTTTTGAGACAGGGTCCATGTTTATATGCTGCTATGTTGGAAGGGTGGATGTTGAGTTCCTGCCATAGTGCCATTGGGCCCAAACATCCAGTTTCTTTTCATTATAGTTTAAATCAGGAGTCAGCAGCCCTGGTCCTCGTGAGCTCCAGCATGTTTTAGTTGTTTTCCTGCTCCAACTCACCTGGTTCTGTGGTGGAATCACCTGTTCAGCAGCTCATCAAGCTCTGCAGAACCCGTTGATAATTTAGGTAACAACTTGTGAAAAGTCACTGTGCAGTAATTGGCACTATGCAATTTCACATTTTTCACACCAATTGGAAGAAACAAATCAGGTTTTTTTGTACTATGAGAGCTGAACACTTAATAACAGTGAAAGTTAAAATAATATTTTAATAAAAGTAACAAGAGAAAGTGAAGAACTCTAAATATTGAAAACGACATTAAATGTACAAATGAATGCACTGAAAAGGTCAAAGAGGTCATTTTCCATCAACTTTGAAAAACTTGATGTCCTCATATACTGATCATGTTTACCCCTGTGTAATTCTGGTGAAGAGTAGGTTTGTACCTAATACATTTATTATTTTGTTATTAGACAAATATATTAATAGCGTCACTAAAGTAAGTTAGATAAAATTTTATTTTTTGATAGGGATGCACCGATGGATCGGCATTTGATCGCAATCGGCCGATAGCGCCCCTATCGGTTTTGATCGGAGTTTTCAAAATAGATCAAAGCAGACCGATCAGGTAGGGTTGTCACGGTAACCGGTGTAGAGGTAAACCCCGGTAAAAAAAGTTGACAATAATAATAACCGTCTTGTTTTTAAAAACTATATTATCTCGGTGGATTACCGTGGCTGCGGTGTAGGCGCGGTGACCCTTACCAGCCACCGTATCATCTGCTGAAGTTGCCGGCGGCACATGCGCACTTTGTTGTTTACAACCAAAACTTTCTTGAAGCTAAAGCTGAAATAATGGCCAAAGGAGGAGACGGCAGCACTCAGTCAGGACATTTATTATCCCTCAAAGAAGACAAAGTGGGAAGTACGGGCATTTTTTAGATATTTGAAGAATGCCGAGGGACAGCTGATAGAAGACGGCTATCCTGTTTGCAGCACGTGCAGAAAAAGTGTCTGTGAAAGGCAGCAACGCTTCAAATCTCATGACACATCTGCGTGACCATCACCCACAACTCTACAGTCAACGCAAGGCAAGCTAACGTTAGCGTTTTAGCTAAAATGCGTGATCCGAGGATTTGGGTTGAGGGAGAATGCAACGAGTGGCTATATAAAGCAGCCGCAGCGCCGCTACCTGCATATAAACCGTGTCGCGGACACCGCCATGTTGAAATGACGCTATGCATTACGGGGCTCCCAGGGGCAGATAAGAGTTGGTCTCTCTCCGAGAATAATTATGAATTTAACAACGATTACTGCCTGATGACATTTTCCCACATCTGCAAAGCTCACTGGAAGGACACAAACCGAGGACAATACTTTCCTGATATAGGGTTTATTACTCAAGTAAGGGTAAAAAAGTATCTGATTAGAAGGCTACTTGAGTACTGAGTATCATCTGATCTAATATTTTTAAAATGATGACATCAAACAGACATAAAATAAGAAGTTATTGACAAATATTGGTATTTTAAAGACTAAAGGGAAAAAATGTAAACAAATAAACAACATAATTACAAAATAACACATTTTAGGCTAAATTTAGACACAAACTGAGGACAATATTTTCCTGACATACAGGGTTTATTTAGTTGTGTGAAAATGTAACACGTTTTTAAAAAATACCGCGATAATACAGAAAACCGTGATAATTTTGGTCACAATAACCGTGAGCTTACATTTTCACACCGTGACGACCCTAGTACAGACCATTTTAGATTAGGTTACATTTCCTTTATTTCCAGATTATGTAGTTTGTGGCACTCATTATAATGTTGTAGAAAATTTCTGGCCAATCCACGTGATCGGTATCGGTGATCAGCATTCTTTGATATCGGTATCGGTGATCGGCAGCAAAAAACCTGATTGGTGCATCCCTACTTTTTGAGGAATTTGCAAACATTCCTGTACACGAGTACAGTTCCCACTAATCTGTTTTGTGGTTTAAGAGCATTTAATTTTATGAATTAGACCTGAGGGTTTTATTTTTTACTGAGCAGAAAATCTCTTGATGGAGGCATAAATAAAAGCCTGTTGCAGAAACAGGGCGGTTTCTGTTCAGTAATCTGTAACAATTCCTGTCTGACACACAAATTACCCACACTAGTCTCACGCCCAGTACTTTCGTAAATAGATGAAATCATTAGAGTGCTGATAAGTAGTTAAATTATTGTTATTTATAAAAGCTGAAAATCAAAGCTATCCACATAACAGAGGGGCTAACTGGCGAGATTTCAGCCTTTCCAAAGGAACGAGAAGGCAGGTTTTAACTCACACAGCTGTTAGTTTTGGGCCAAATCAGTAAACACAACAAGCGGATGTAGTAAAGATTAAATCTAAACACTCACCAGAGTCAGGAAGTCACACAAAAACTTACTGCGGAGTGCTAACAAGTCAGATATTTTAGGACAGAAAAACAAAAACTGTGTCTGGAGTTACACCAAGTTTGCTAATCATGTAAACAAGAATGAGCTTACCTGGAGGGAGTCAAAGTGAAGTCCACAGACGCGGACAGAACTGGACTTACTTGTCTGAGCGGAGCTAACAACTCACTGACTCGTTATTCGTGTTTTTGTGGTATGTTAAATGCTGTTTTTACTTTAAAGAGTAGTAAAACCCCATGTTCCGTACGACGAGAACCCTTTCGCTTTTCCGCGTATGCGCAGAACTAGCAACTCAGTAGGACGGGTCTCGTGAGCCCCGGAACTCCAATTAAAACTTTCCAAAACGCATTTTTTTATTTTTTGTTTTTTATTGAATAAAATGCGTTGTAAATATAGACGGAATGTAGATGTTATTTTCGCCCGTGTAATTTAGAAAATTCATTTTCTAAAACGCAAATATGGAATAATATGTTTTTAATGCGTGAATCGGGTTTACATAAGTCCATGGTTTACATCCATACATAACTGTAGCCTGAATAAACACTCTGAATGACTCCTACCTAAACTCAAAGCTATTTAAGTCCTTTTAAAAAGTTAGTTGAATGTTTTCTTATCACGCTTTAGTGCATATTGGTTGTTCCTTTGGGAATCTTTCTGCTGTTGTATTGGAAAGGGTAGAATTTCTAGTTTTAAAAATGCACATGAAAAAGACAATGCTTACAACCAAAATATATTTAAATGTCTTGCCCTTTAAAATAAATTATATTTGCGTAAACTTCTTCAATTCATGCGCCCCCTGGCGGCCCTTTGGCTGAAACTGCATCCACCGTGTACTTGATGGATTTTATTGACAGGAAACAACAAATAACTATAATTAGTTTAAAAAAATATTTACCAGAATAATTTCTAATCAAACATTTCAGTTATAAAACTATTAGTTCAAAGACCATTAAATAATCAAGTTCATCTAATAATTTTTCTAATAATTTAATCAATTTCCCTCTGGGATTAATAAAATATTTTTGAATTTGAATAAACACACACAGAAATTGATACAGAAATGTAATAATTTAACAAAGGTACACATTTTGTTTATGTGTTTATATTTTATAACGAATTTATAAACTACTCAAAGGACCTGCCCCTCCAGTTCCCTCGCCAGCTGAGAAACAACTTTTCTCTGAATAGCACCTTAACGAAAGTCCAAGGCACTGAACATGGTGAAAAAACAGACATCATAACAACATTTGTTTAGATTTCTATCCTGACAAAGTGCCTTCACGAGTTCAGTACGAAATATTAACCAGAGCAATGAATGTGTAACAGGTATTCAGTCACTTGTTAAATGAGGATGTGATCCAACATTTACAGGTTTGTCTGTGTTTAAACTGATAGTTTGGGTCTTTTGAAGGGGATATTTTAGACAAGTTATTAACATGTAAAATCATCCCTGTTACCGATAGCTATTTCTCTAATAAGAGTGAAGTTTATTGGAATAATAATTGATAGTAAATTAAGTTGGAAACCACAAATTAAACATGTATATAATAAGGTTGCGGAAAGCATCTATATTATGAATAAAGATCGGCAGTACTTGGATTATAAATCACTCCATGTCCTTTATTATTCATTGATTTATCCCTATCTTATTTACTGTGTAGAGGTGTGAGGTAACACTTATAAAACATCTATTGAACCCTTGTCTATCATACAGAAAAGAGCCCTGAGAGTCGTTCACAATGTTAGATTTAGAGAACACACTAATCCGTTATTTATATATTCTAAAATACTAAAATTTAAAGATTTACTTCAACTATATACAGCAACATTCATGTTTAAAGTGCATAGGAAATTATTACCAAACAAATTATTAATGCTATTTATAAAACCAGATAACCTATATAATTTCAGATGCAAACTTAACTTAAGGCATGCATATTTTAGAACAACATTAAAGTCATTTTGTATTTCTGCTACAGGTGTAAGAGTTTGGTATAAGCTACGTGAGGATCTAAAGCAAAGTCCCTCATTGCATAAGTTTAAAGAGAAGTATAAAGAAATTATACTAATTAATTACATGGAGGAGGAGGAAAAGTTGTAAGGGTGTTGCATTTCATTGTAATTGTCTATTGTTGGTGAACTGAGAGCTGTGAATATTGGGGGGGGGGGGGGGGGGGGGGCATGAAACATAAAAAATGTAAATTTTGTTTGTGTGATTGAGGATAAAACATGTTATAAGAAAATGGCTATGACACTCAGTGTAGGGAAAATATATATAGTTTTTGTTTTATCTTTCTTGAAATTTGATTTGGGGGGGTTATATAAACTACCAGAGCTTTGTTCCCTTCCTATTGAACATGTTCTACATATATATGTATATATATATATATATATATATATATATATATATATATATATATATATATATATATATATATATACACATATGTATGGGTTTCTTTCCGAATACTTTTTGAATGCTTTGGGTTGTCTATTGATTTACATGCTCAATAAAGAAAGAAAACGTTTCTCATTAAATTCCCTTATTTTTATTAGTTTTTTAAATAAGAAAATGAATGTTTGTCTTTAGCTGTTTTATTTTTAATTGTTAGCAGAGATCTTCACTGTTCTACAGGTTTGGTAAAATTAAACAGTATTAGTTTTCTGCATTTGACATCACCTTTCAAATTGTTTTAATATCACAACGACGTGACAGTTTGCATCCTACTCTTTGACGTTTCAAGACTTCGATGTCTTTGTTCACCGCTGCGAGTCACGGTGGTCTTCTCTCTCTCTCTGCATCACCTGCTGATGCTGTTGTGTCGTCCTTCACCTCAGGTCATGGAGCAGGATGAGGGCACAGCAGACGGTGTGGAAGAAAACATAACGTTGGAGAACTTTAATTCTACAAAAACGATAGCTGAAGCATACTTTCTGTTCACCCGAAGTTCTCTGTTTATTGTATTTGTGTTTCTGATGTTATTTATTTACTCAGACATTATTGGTGCACCCGTTGCTGCAGAGCGGATGACTATTCTAAATGATGCAACTAGGGATGCACATCAGTGTCGGTAAAAATTACAATGCAGTTGCCTGAAAGAGGCTTCACTGTAACTTGTCATTTCTGTTAACCTAATATTTAAGTTCTGTGATCATTTCTATTCATATATTAAAGTTTTTATCTACCTCGAAGTATTTTCCTGTTGAAAACAGAGAAGAAAATAAAACCGGTATTCCAATTCATTGCATTTTTTGTGTGGTAGAAGTATCGGTGTCAGTGATCGGCATCGGCGAGTACTCAGATCCAAGTATCGTTATTGTATCGGTTTGGAAAAAAGTGGTATCGATGCATCCGTAAATGAGACACATTAAGGGTTAAATATAGTACATATTAGTGGTTTTAGAGAAAAATTTTGTTTTTGATGCAGAATTGCATTAGATACCTAAAGGCTCGCCATCAGGTGCCTTCCAGTTCCTCCAGAGTCCACGTTCAATACTATAGAACCATCCTAAAGGAGAAAATGAAGTCATTTGCAATATTTGTAATTAAAAGATGGATGGGGCTGGAAAACTCGGGTTGATGAAAAAAATTAATAGGTGCAAATAAAAGCGTTTGGATTTTAATAAAACAAATCTTTTCAAATTAGAATGTGGCAGAGTTTGCAACAGAGTTTACAATTTTTATTTTAGTTTCCATTGTTTTATGAGGTCATTCAGCCTTATTTTAATAAATTATTTAAACTTGTAAACAGGTGAGTGTTTGCATGCATTAAACGTGATGTCAGACCGAGAGGGCGGAGCCACTAACAACTACATTAATGCAGATGCCCACATAGGGATGGGTACCTTTGACATTTGAATCGATTCGGTACTAATTCCTGGTACCTAGGAATCGATAACGGTACTTAACGGTACCAATTTTAGGTACTTTTGCGTGTTTAATATTTTAATTCTCTTTTATAATAAAACATATATATATTTCTCAATATATAACCATATTTGATAAATATCACGATAAATAACATACAACTGTTTGTATTTTAACATCGTCCTTGTAGTTTTATAAGCTGATAATTAAACTGAAGCAAACATCTTTACTGTGAACTAAATTTACTGTGTATCTTCATTCCTTTTGCCGTCCTTTTTCTTTTGATTTTTCCTACTGGGAAGTTAGAATTTCCGAGGAGAAAGCGAACGCACCATTAGCTGATAACAATGGTGGCAATGGAAGCTAACATATCAAGCTAACGTTATCTTAAACATTTTATTTAACTGCTGGAGCAGATTAAAACGATGATGCCTCACACTTAGATCGTTGTCGCTGGTTTCATCTTCACCCATTCACCCGGCGCATTTAGTAAAGTGAAGCCAAACTTTAGAGCGAGTTCATGTTCTTCTAGTTGGAAATTCGGAGTTCCGAGGAGAAAGCGAACGCACCATTAGATAAACGGAAGCTAACAAATCAAGCTAACGTTATCTTAAACATTTTATTTACCTACCGGAGCAGATTAAGATGAGGATGTCTCACTTAGATCGTTGTCGCTGGTTTCATCATCACCCAGTTACCCATCACATTTAGAGACGTGGACCCAAGCTTTAGCGTGCGTTCTTTCTACCATGCTGCTCTGTTTACAACTGGCTTGAAGCGACCGACGACATAACGCTCTTGCGCATGCGCAGCTGTCTAGGCAACTTCTCGTTATGAAGGACGGGTACCGAAACGAGGCACCGTTTCAAATGACGTGATCGGTGCGCAGTCGGTACTGTGGAATTCAGTTGGCACCTTAAAAAGTACCGAATTCCGTACCCATCGCTATGCCCACAACAACATCGTGACATATTTTCTACAGTTTTATTTCTCGTTTTACATGATTATATTTTATTACTTGCTTTGCATGTTCTATATGATTATATTTTAGCACAGTTTTATTATTTAAATTATTATTTTACTGTTTATATCATTTTATTTATTACTTATTTTCTAATTTTTGTCATTTATATTAGCTCTTTTATTACATTTTTACTCATTTTAATCCAGTGTTTCCTCTGCAGGGGCCCTCTGCCCCGGGAGCGGTGGTCGACTGTAGCTTCCTGGGCGCTCTATAGGTGGAGGCCTATGCTCCCCCTCCAATGAGCGCCCTGACTTAGTGTGGAAGACCTGATGCTGCCGGGACAGACGGCTCCTCTGATGGCGTTTCCTTGCTTTACCATACTTGGCTCATCTGAACTCAGCCTAATAAAATTTTTACTTGTGTGTGTGTGTGTGTGCGTGTGCTTGCATATGTTTGTTAATGTTTTTAACCTGTTATGGGAATGTGGGGTCATTTTGTAAAGCACTTTGAATCACACTTTGTTTGAAAAGCACTTTAGAAATAAAATTTGATTGATTGATTGATCGTAATGTACCAGCTAACATCATAGTGTACCTCTTAGCCAATAGCGATGGCAGGTTTAAATTCAAATGCAGTGTAGAGTTTTTACCGCACTACCGCACAACCCTGACAGTTTTTGGCAGAATATTTAAATTTTAACTAAGATGCA